CATACAATGGGATGTGAAATACTATGGGATTCTTCACCCATAAAAGGTGATACAGTGGGGTGAGCATCTGGGGCTAGGCTAAACCAAATCCAGGAGCTTCCTCTGGGTTTCCCAAATGGCTGCATTAGATCCAGGCAGCTGGATCAGAAGTGGAACAGCTGGGACCCAAATTGGCACCCATTTGGGATGCCGCCACTGCAGGTGGAAGCTTACTGTACTAAGCCACAAACGCAGGCCTATTGTAGGCATCTGAGGAATGAACCAGTGGATGAGAACTGTGTCCCTGTCACTCATTTTTTCTCTCAAATAAATTTGATCTCCCTTGTAAACCTTCTGGTCAGTGAAGAGACAGTCTGAAGGCTGTTAGTTCTGTGCTTCTGTTGCTATGAAATGCCCCGAGTTGCCAAGTTTGTAGAGATAGAGCTCAGATTAGTGGTTTCCAGGAGCTACGGACTGAGAGTGGGGACTGACTGCTCTGTGTATGGGTATGCTTTTGGAGTGATGAATGTTCCAGAATTAGATGGTAGGGTGCTTGCACAGCATTGACAATGTTCTAAGCATCTGTGAATTACAATACTGTAAAATGGTTCGTTGTGTGTTCAGTGTTATCTTGTTAAGCAGCGCTGCTCTAATCATCCTTCTGGTTGTATTCACTGGTACCCATTAATGTCAGGGGTTGCCGCTCAGTGGCTTCCTGTGCATTCTCTGTAGTCTGCAGCACGCCTCCTGCCACGTCCTGCAGCTCCTGGCTGCACCGGAGGGCACTGTGAAGGCCTGAGTGCCCTCTTGTGTTTATAGGTGCCCTGAAGAACTTCAGCTCAAGTGGATATGGGGTGGCAAGAAGTTGGGCAGGAGAGCAGCCTGAGAGATGAAGAGGGGCTGTGGGGGCCAGGGCTGCAGGTGCCGGCAAGCATGCAGCCCCTCTCTGGTCTGCTTTGCGAGGTCAGCTGCTGAATTGCCTGCCACTCAGCGCCTGCAGCATGTGGAAGATGAGGCCCACTGAAACGTGAGGGAAGCCAGGCAAGGGACTTGTAGGGCTTTTGTGGGTGGCCAGCGTTGAGGATAAAGTGCATTCCTTCTGGATTGTTCTGCAGGAGGTAGGCTTAGGCTTGATGTCAGTACGTCCAGTGGCACATGCTGCCCTCCCACACGGGATGTGCTCCAGAAAAGCCGCTGTTCGTTGTGCAGGTGGAGACTGCTGGGCCTCCAAACGGGCCAGGGGCCATGACCTTGTGTAGCTGTGGTGGGAGGAGCTGGTGCGGAGCTCTGGGCCTGGGCCCCGTGCGCAGCCTGAGCACTTCTGCTGGAAGTCCCAGTGTGCTGTGAATGTATTTGGCCAAGCACTCGGCTGCTTCAGCCTGCTGGCTGTTTTCAGTGCCCATGGCCATGCAGTCAATTCCAGCAGCTGTAAAAAATATGCCTGCCTGTGAGAACACAGAAGCTGGCGTTTGTGCCCCGCGCCCAGCCTGCTCCCTGGGTACTTGCTGCTGGCTCCTCCTGACAGTGATTCAGGGTGAGGCAGAAAACTGGGAGCATCATGGATGGTCCTGGACAGCCAGCTGGGAATAAGAGCCTGGGCAAAGTAGAGAGATGGAGGGCCAGGCAGGACATAGCCCTGTGGACAGCACAAGGCCACAGGGACCCTGGGCATAGCTGTGGAAAATGAGCAGCCAGGCAGGACATGACCCTGCCAGAGGGCATGAAAGTGGGTTGCTGTGTTGAGCAGAGTCTTCTGCCAGCTGGCCCCAGATGCTGAGGTCACCTGGCTCCCCGTGGGCCTTGGCACGTTTTTGAGGGTGCATCAGACGTCCCCTCTGTCTGCCCTTTCTCCCTGGCACAGGTGGCAGTATCCTCTGGCCTGTCCTTCCCACTCTGTTGGCATGTCCCGAAGTTGTGCTTGTCTTTCTTTATTTAATTGTAGACTTTTTTTTTTAAGATTTATTATTTTTATTATTTTTTTTATTGGAAAGGCGGATATACAGAGAGGAGAGACAGAGAGGAAGATCTTCCGTCCGATGATTCACTCCCCAAGTGAGCGCAACGGCCGATGCTATGCCGATCCGAAGCCAGGAGCCTCTTCCGGGTCTCCCATGTGGGTGCAGGGTCCCAAAGCTTTGGGCCGTCCTCGACTGCTTTCCCGGGCCACAGGCAGGGAGCTGGAAGGGAAGCGGGGCTGCCGGGATAGAACCGACACCCATATGGGATCCTGGGCGTGCAAGGTGAGGACCTTAACCACTGTGCCACCGCGCTGGGCCCTAATTGTATACGTTTTTTAAAATTATTTATTGGAGAGGCAGATTTACAGAGAGAAAGATCCTCCCTCTACTGGTTCACTTCCCAAGTGGCCGCAGCGGCCAGAGCTGAGCTGATGTGAAGCCAGGAACCAGGAACTTCTTCTGGGTCTCCCACGTGGATGCAGTGTCATAAGGCTTATGTCCTTGACTGCTTTCCCAGGCCATAAGCAGGGAGCTGGATGGGAAGTAGAGCAGATGGGATTAGAACCGGGGCCAATATGGGATCCCAGCGCATGCAAGGTGAGGGAGTGCTTTAGCCATTAGGCTACTGTGCTGGGCCCATAAGAAAAGTTTTATTTCTGAATCTAGTGTAGTGGCTCAACATGCTAATCCTCCCCTTGCAAGGGCCAGCATGCCATATGGTTGCTACTTTATGTCCCGGCAGCCCCGCTTCCCATCCCGCTCCCTGCCTGTGGCCTGGGAAAGCAGTGGAGGACAGCCCAAAGCCTTGGGACCTGCACCCACATGGGAGACCCGGAAGACGCTCCTGGCTCCTGATTGGCCCAGCTCCCACCGTAGGGGCCGCTTGGGGAGTGAATCATTGGACGGAAGATCTTCCTCTCTGTCTCTCCTCCTCTCTGTATATCTGACTTTCCAATAAAAATAAATAAATCTTCTTAAAAATAATAAAGTCCAGACAGAATAAGGAACAAAAAAATAATAAAAGTGCCAGAAGGACACAACAATGAACGTTCCTGTAATTTTTGACTGGAGAAGAGACAAGCAGGACTCAAACCAACATGTTGGAGAATCAATTTTTTCGACTCTGTTCAGAGATTTAAAAAAAAAAAAAGTCCAAAGTTAAGGCACCACCTTCCCATATGGGCACTAGTTCTAATTCTAGCAGCCCTGCTTCCCATCCAGCTCCCTGCTTGTGGCCTGGGAAAGCAGTGGAGGACGGCCCAAAGCCTTGGGACCCTGCACCCGCGTGGAAGACCTGGAAGAGGCTCCTGGCTCCCTATTTAAGATCGGCTCAGCTTTGGCTATTGTGCCATTTGGGGAGTGAACCAGTGGATCTTTCTGTCTCTCCTTTTTCTTTTTTCTTTCTTTCTTTCTTTCTTTTTTTTTTTTTTGTCTCTCCTGTCTAAATCTGACTTTCAAATAAAAATATTCAAATAAAAATTTATTTTTTTATTTGAAAGCCACAGTTGGAAATAGAGGGAAAGAGGAAAGACGCACAGAGAGATCTTGCATCTGCTGGTTCAGTCCCCAGGTGGCCACTACGGCGACATGGGCCACACTGAACCCTTGAGCCAATTGCTTTTTGCACAGGCACAAGCACTTGGACCATGCCCCATTGCTTTCCCAGGCCAAAAACGGGGAGCTAGATGGGAAGTAGACTAGTGGGACTTGAACCAGCACACCCATATGGGATGCCAGGGTCACAGATAGAAGCTTAAGCTGCTACACCACAGCACCAGGCTCCTCCTGCAGGGATTTCTTTGCTAGCCCAGTAAAAGATCGCTCTGTTATGCTCAGGCCCCCTATGTCTTGGTTTAGGTTTTGGGTCCATTTGTTGCTAGCACGGCTAGGATAGTGGCAGCAGGGGCCACAGAAGGCATGGCGGGGAGGGGAAATAGGGCCTAGGTTCCTACTTGGTAAGACCCATTTGGCCATCAGAATGGTCCAGTAGGCAGGCAGTGCAAAGTCAGTGACATCTGAGTGGTAGCTTTGTCAGTGGGCTGCCTTGAGTGGCAGGGCAGGGCAGGGCTGCTCGTGGCATGCCGGAGCCTGTTGGTGGCCTTGCATTCCCCAGAGGGTGCTTGCCTTCCTCTGAGGGGCCATGCAGGCTCTCTGCAGGCCTCCAGCTTCCACTTCTGGTGCCATAAGCCATCACTCTGGGGGGCTAGCTGGTGCGTTCACCCATCCCCCTCTTGCTGTCCCAGGCACCCCCATGGCCTGCTGTTCCCAGTGCCTGCGCCCAGTTTCCATAGCAACACTGCTGCTGGGTAACGATTGCAGGGAGAAAGACATTCCTGCAGCTCGCTGCGTCAGCGGAGCGTCCCGTGGTGCTTGTTGCCTTGTACCAGGAGTCTTGCCCATGCACCCCTTACGGCAGGCTCTGTGCTTCTGCTTCCGATGTTGGCTTCCCTTCAGGGTGCCGGTTTCCATGTGAAGGCTGTCAGATGCAAAGCCTTTGCCTTAGACTCCCACAAGGTGCTTTGTCTCTTGGACAGTCTGCATGGGAATGACCCCCAGAACAACACACCATGGGCAGCAAGTGAGGAGCTTTGCGTGTGTGCCACCTTTGTTCCGCCTCCCTCCTGCCGTCCATACTGGTCACTCTGCAGCCTGTCCTGTCTCATGACCTTGACCCAACCCGTGGGCTCGCTTGTGTGCGCGACAGAGGTGGTCGCTGTTAGGATTCACTGGGGACCCACATCAGATGCCTAACCTGGAACCTGGCACTTCGCAGGTACCCACAGAATGGCAATGGCCTAGCAGAGGCACCCAGGTAGTAGCATAAGGGCGCAGTGGCCAGGTTGAGGCCTGAAGGAAGGGCTGAGGGATGCCGCCCAGTGTGGGGCAGAGCCTGCTCCCGGCCCTGGGTGCACAGCCCACACGCACCCACCCTGGACTCTGTGAAGCCATGAGTAGCCAGGGTCAGAGGGAGTGAGCAGATGGCCAGTGGCCATCTTGAACTTTGACCTTCTGAGGGGAGGAGCTGCCCTTGAAGGTTCTCATGGCCCCATGTCTCTGCTGCAGGTGAACGGGAAAGAGCTCTCCAAGCTGTCTCAGGAGCAAACCCTGGAGGCCCTGCGCTCCTCTAAGGAGCCCCTGATGATCCAGGTGCTGAGGCGTGGTCCCCGCCTGCGGGGTGACAGCTCCTGCCATGACCTACAGCTGGTGGACAGTGGCACTCAGACCGACATCACCTTCGAACATATCTTGGCGCTGGGCAAGCTGCGCCCGCCCACCCCGCCCCTGGGTATCCTGGAGCCGTACGTCCTTTCTGAACTGTGAGTTGTCCTCAGCCAGGCCCTGGGTCATGCCTGTGCAGAGCCATCCCCCTACATCCCTCCGTGCCCAGCAGCCAACCTCTGGCCTGCCCTGGCCCTGTTCTGATCCCCCAGAGCCACAGATGCGTGCAGGCTGCTAGCGTGTGCAGCCTGGGCAGCAGGCGTGCCCCTGGAGCTCTGCAAGCTTGCTGCCACAGCTGCAGCATCTTGGGCCTCCCGGCACCTGCAGTCCCTCCTGGCCACCCGATTGTGGAGAACCTCCTGAGTACTGCTCCTGGACTCTCGCATTCTTTGGCCAATTCTTCTGCCTGCTCTCAATCCACTCTATATCTTTGGCTTTTGTCTTGGGTCTTTTGCCCAGGCCTGGCACCTCATGCGCCTACCAGCACTGACTCACTGTCCCTGATTCCTGAAAGAGGGGCCTGGGCACCCCAGTATGGCGAGAAGGAGGCCCGTAGTGGCTGAGCCAGCTGGCATCTCCAGATGCAGTGGTTTCCCTCTGTGCTGCCAAAGTCCTCAGAACCTGGGGGAGACTGGGGGCAGGGCCTGAGTGAGGCCAGGGCATGGGAGGTGGCAGGACACCAGGAGCCATGCACTGGCCCTCGAGGCTGGCTGGCTACAAGAGTGTGCTCTTTGAGACAGTGCGAGGAGAGCTAGGCACATGCCATTCAAGAAGTGCTTCTGGGACTCGGGTGTGGGAGGAGTGAGCGTGTGGTTGGCTGACCGCCCCCCCCTTCTCCTGGGCAGCCCCCCCATCAGTCATGAGTATTATGACCCGGCGGAGTTCATGGAGGGCGGCCCGCAGGAGGCAGATCGAGTGGACGAATTGGAGTATGAGGTAAGCTGGCCCAGGATGGCTGCCTGCAGCCTCACTTAGGCCAGGCTCCTGCTGCGCCAGCCAGGCAGCTGGGCATCGTGGCCCTTCCCGCGCATCAGGGAGGGTGTGGGTGAGGCTGCAGTTCGTTGGTGTCAGAGTCTGTGTCCCACGCATGTCTGTGTCGTGTGTGTCTTGGGCATGTGCTGGTGGGCGGAGACTGTTGCATACACATGCACCATTTGGGATGGTAAGAGAGCAACTAGAGGGGAAGACGACACGCCCCTGGGGCCCCTACATTGCCTGCTGTGCTGTTCCTGAGTTTCTGCCTCTGCTTGCCTCCTGGCTGCTGGTGGCAGGAGGTGGAATTGTATAAAAGCAGTCACCGAGACAAGCTGGGCCTCATGGTGTGCTACCGCACGGACGATGAAGATGACCTGGGCATCTACGTGGGAGAGGTACGGAGTAGTGCCTGGGCGTGGTGGGGTCCAGGAGTTCCCTACACTGCCCAAAGTCCTCATGGCAGGAGCAGGCAGGCATATGCTGGTGTGCACCTGGGCTGCTGCTGGTGGGGATCAGCTGAGCGACTCTGCCTGCGCCTCAGCTTTGCTTGCCCCTGGAGGTGTGTGCAGGATGAAGGACTGGCCCTAGCTCTGGCCTAGTGCAGCCAAGCTGCCAGTGTGCCCCTGGGTGAATGCCCAGGCAGAGAGCAGGGCCTCTGGGCACAAGAGTGGAACAGCGGCACAGCATGTGCACTCCAGCTCAGCTCAGAGGTGAGGCTTTCCCATCACAAGGCTCCCTTAGGCACCAGGTCACCAAGATGAGTGTGTCCTGCAGGTTAACCCCAACAGCATCGCAGCCAAAGATGGCCGGATCCGCGAGGGAGACCGCATTGTGCAGGTGAGTGCTGACGGCCACATCTGGCGCCAGGCCCCTGCTACCTAACATTCCGGGAGTTTTGTCTCGTGCCACACAGTTGCTGGGGCTTCTGTCCCACAGAGCACCTACTCTGGCCACAGCTATCCCTGAGTGTACACGCACACATGCACGCATACTCTGGTGCACATGCTCACTGTTGCTGGCCTGCTACAGATCAATGGTGTGGATGTGCAGAACCGGGAAGAAGCAGTGGCCATCCTGAGCCAGGAGGAGAACACCAACATCTCCCTGCTGGTGGCCCGGCCTGAAAGCCAGGTAGGGCCGTGTGCTCGGCAGGGCTGCCTGGGACCTCTTGTCCTTATCCAACCCCGTCTCCAGCAAGCTCAGAAGTGGGCAGGGATGGTGCGAGCCCATTTCACTGGCATGGGAGCAGGGTAGGAGAACTGCTGTCTTGGACTATCCACTTTCCTGACACCAGGGTGCTGGGTGCAGGGTTTAGGTTAGACACGTGGTGGGGGCATGGGCTGCTGTGGGGAGCTCCTTGAACCAGTGGGCTCATATGTGTGTGTGTGTGTGTGTGTGTGTGTGTGCGCGCGCATGCGCACGCATGTAGCTGGCGAAGCACTGGAAAGACAGTGATCGGGATGACTTCCTGGAAGATGTTGGCTCTGAGAATGAGGGGAAACTCAAGTCGCCGCCTTCCCAGCAGGTGCGTGCTGACATGGGAGGGGTGGGGTGGAGGGGAGTAGGGTGGTGTGTGTAGGCCAGCTTGGGCTGGGCCTCCAGGCCTGAATCCTGTGTGGGTTCCTCTGCAGCCGCCGCAGCCTGGAAGTGGAGAGGAGAAGGGAGCTCCTGCTGCCAGCTCGGGCCTGAGCAACAGCCAGGAGCTGGACAGCGGGGTGGGCCGCACAGATGACAGTACCCGCAACGAAGAGAGCTCTGAGCACGACCTGCTGGTGGACGAGCCGCCGAGCATCACCAACACCCCTGGCACTCTGCGCAAGTTTGGCCCACAAGGTGACACACTGCAGAGCCAGGACTTCCATTTCAGCATGGACTCGCTGCTGGCCGAGGGCGCGGGGCTGGCTGGGGGCGATGTGCCGGGCCTCACGGACGAGGAGTATGAGCGCTACCGGGAGCTGCTGGAGATCAAGTGCCACCTGGAGAACGGCAACCCCCTGGGCCTCCTCTTTCCCCGGGCAGCGGGTGGTGGTGGTGGCAACAGTGCCCTGGATGTGAACCGCAACGAGAGCTTGGGTCATGAGATGGCCATGCTGGAGGAGGAGCTGCGGCACCTGGAGTTCAAGTGCCGCAACATCCTACGGGCACAGAAGATGCAGCAGCTGCGGGAGCGCTGCATGAAGGCCTGGCTGCTGGAGGAGGAGGGCCTCTATGCCCTGGCAGCCTGTGAGCCCAAGAAGCATGAGCTATCAGACATCTCCGAGTTGCCCGAGAAGTCCTCAGACAAGGACAGTACCAGCGCCTACAACACTGGTGAGAGCTGCCGCAGTACGCCGCTGCTGGCTGGGCCCCTGGCTGAGAGCCCCCTGAGGCAGCCTGCTGCTGGCAACTCCAACTTGAATCGGACCCCTCCTGGCCGCCCCATCACCACCACTCCCACCAAGGCACCCGCGCAGGGGAGCCCTTCCAAGCTCCGCTCCCTCTCCCGGGATGCCGACGTAGGCCACAGGCAACATGCTGATGAGCATGTCCGCCGGAGCCTCAAGATGGGGGTGACGCTGGAGCGTGTGCTCCCCGAAGGTAGCCCTTACCTCTCTCGCCGCCATCACGCCCAGGGCCAGGAGAACGAGCAGTATCCGAGCTGCATGCAGCTGGCCCCGGCACGTGGTGGTCTGGAGGAGCTGGCCCACTGCCCCCTGGGCCTGGCTGGTGGCCCGAGAGGTGCTGGGGTGGCAGCTGTGGCCCCTGAAGCACCCCGCATGGAGTGGAAGGTGAAGGTGCGGAGTGATGGCACGCGTTACGTAGCCAAGCGGCCTGTGCGGGACCGGCTGCTCAAGGCCCGCGCCCTGAAGATCCGGGAGGAGCGCAGTGGCATGACCACTGATGATGATGCTGTAAGTGAGATGAAGATGGGTCGCTACTGGAGCAAGGAAGAGCGCAAGCAGCACCTGATCCGCGCCCGCGAGCAGCGGAAGAGGCGCGAGTTCATGATGCAGAGCCGCCTGGAGTGCCTGAGGGAACAGAGCAGTGACGGCAAGACAGAGCTCAACATCATCGCCTTGAGCCACCGCAAGACCATGAAAAAGCGCAACAAGAAGATCTTGGACAACTGGATCACCATCCAGGAGATGCTGGCCCATGGCGCACGTTCGGCCGACGGCAAGCGAGTCTACAACCCCCTGCTCTCCGTCACCACTGTCTGAGCTGCTTGGGCCAGAGCCACCTCCCTCCCGCCCTTCCCCCCCTTAGAATGTAGAGTGCACGTCTGGAAGGTAGGGAAGCTCAAGGCTTGGAAGGCAGCACTGTCCCAGGTGCGAGAAGGCGCACAGCTTCACCACTGTGCGCCCCCTGCTGGAAGTCACAGTGATTTGTGGACAAAGGCAACCCCAATTTGTATTTCTCCCTTTCTGTGCTTGTTTTAAGTCCCCCCCCCCTGTTGTATGGGCCCACCCTGGGGACTGGCAGCTCCCTCAGGCTGCCCAGTAAAGGTGTTGGCTGGGAAGGAGGTGGGGGGAGGAAGAGAGGGAGGGCTGAGGGTGGGAGGGAGGGGGGGAGGGAATGTGGGAGGATGGGTAAGGAATGGTGGCCTCCACTCTAGGGGAAGGTGTAGTGCTCAGCCTTGGGAGCACCGGGGCTGTGTGCCCAGCAGCATGTGGAGTGGGAGCAGGGTGCTCAGCTGTTCCGAGGCCGCGTGAGCCAGACAAGAGCCCAGGATACAGGGCCAGTTACGAAGGGAACCCCGCAGGCTCCCAGACTGGAGGCAGACAGCCCTGCCTCTCCTGTATCTGCAGAATAAAGCAAGCTGCTTTTTTACTCCAAGAGCCTCAGCCTCCCTGCCTCTTCATTCTCAGCATTTGGGGGGGAAGGGGGAGGGATGGAGATATGAGTTTGAGGTGGGGGCAGGAGTAGTACCAGTATCATTTGTTTTGTCAGGGTGTGGACCAGCTTTTGGGCGATGTCCACAGGGGGATGGCAGAGATATGCCTCCATGAGGGGAATGGGTCCTACCCTACCTTTATCACAGAGCACTGGCACAGCACCGTGCCTAGGAAGGCGCTGCTGGTAACCCTATACCTGGGCAAATCCCAGGTATAAAGCGGCCAGGGCACCAATCACAGTAAGTTCCCTGGGAGCCCTCTTGGAGTGAGCTGGAGGTGTACACTCCCCCTCCCAAGAAGAGGGACAAAGAGCATAGGAGCCCCATCCCCCCTTCTCAATGCGCCCATGCCATGTGGCTTGCTGCTGTGGCCAGAATAAGCAACACGGCATTGCGGACAGTTGCCACCTGACCCACTCCATCCTGCCCACCACACTATATGAGGATTCCTCTCACTGGCCTGACCCGTGCTCCACTAACCCTAAGTTGGCAAACACTGGGCTTTGCCTGCAGATCCGGGGAGGAGGCCTCAGGCACTGAAGCACCCATCCTTCCAGTGGGTGCAGAGCTTTCCCGTCTTTCTCACTGGGTACCCGGGCCCAGTGCCACCTTAGTAAGGCATGGTTATGGCCTAGCTGAGCAAACCACCTTGAGAAGTCAGTTTGAAAGGGCCTACTGGAGACGTAGACCCCAGGGCCTTTACCCTTGCCATTGTGCCCTGCAGGCTATGGAAATGGGGAGAAATGGTAAGGGGCAAAGGGCTCCACAGAGGCAGGTGGTGGTTCCCCAACAATTGGTGCCAGACCGCACCCAGAGGAGGAGCATGGAGTTGCCATCAACCAGCAGGGCATGGAAGCAGCAGTGTGGCTAGCTCATGCCACCTGTGCAGATGAGGCCAGCACCGGAAAGTCTTGCTTCTGACTGGCAGGCGGAAGGAGGGTGTGGTGGGAAGGACACCCTCCTGGGGGCCAACCACAGGGCATGTGGTGAGCAGATAGGATGTGGGAGGGGAGGTCAGGATTGAGGCAACCCCCCATCTCCCAGAGGGGGACAAGCGCAGCAACACAAAGCTAGGAGCCCATGGCCCAGGAGCGGTGTTTATTGCACAAGGATGCCGCTGCCCTCAAGCCTGGATGTGGGTCTTGGCACTGAAGGCCAGGTAGTAGAGCACAAGGCCAATGCCCGCAGCCAGCACCTCAGTGGAGACCCAGGGCCCATTCCAAGTGCCCTGCAAAGAAAGGACAGCAAAAGCCAGTTCAGACTAGGCAGCCCAATGCAGCAGCCGGCCCCGGCCAGCCTGCCTCAGCTGCCCGCTCACCCTGTGGTCCACACGGACTGTGAACAGAGGCGAGATGACAGACACGTCTTCGTTGTTTCTCTGAGCCTGGAAAGGACAGGTTGGGGTCAGGGTGCCCAGGTTAGGAGAGGGAGGCATGGCAGCTAAGCCACCCAAGGGAAAGGCACAGGGGTGGGGAGTGGGCATGGGTGTGCAGGAGCACAGGAAGGCACTGTGGCCTTGCTGGACGGCAGTGAGGGCCCAACACAAAGGAAACAGTGGCGGGGCGGGGGGAGGGCACAGGGCAGAGGCCCTGGGCATTCATCACCTTTCTCAGGAGGCTGTAGGACTCCTCATCAAAGAATCTGACTTCGTAGGTGCCAGCATGAGCACTCTTGTGATCCAGGCTCCAGGATACCTGGGGGGGGGGGGGGGGGCGGTGCACCTGTAAGAGGAGCTCTGTTCTGAGCATCTGTCCCCCAAAGTCCTCACCGCTGATGTTGTCCTGTGGTCTAGGCAGCATCCCCCAGCGACCGCAGAGCGGATCTCCCTTACCTGGTAACGCCCCACGTCCTGGCCCCGGGTCACCGGGAACTGCTTCCCACTGACATCAGCGTAGAGAGCCATGTTCTAGGTGAAAGGACAAAGGGACTGTCACCATCTCCTCTTAGGGCACAGGCATGACACGGGTAAGTCAGTCTACCCCAAATGAGCCATGTTGGGAGAGCAATGGGCACTGGGACCATCCGTGTCCCTCTATGTGCCCTGGGGACCAGACTGCAATCAAGGCATGCAAGTCAGGGCTTAAGGCCAGAAACGCAGGCATGCCTTTTGGTGAGCAGCAGCCGAAGGGCACAAGAGCCTGGAGGCCAGTTCGGTCCCCTACTCACAGCCCCAAACCTGAGCGGGAGGTGCCTATGGCCCTGCCCGCGCCACCACAGGCCCCGTGTGCTCCCTGTCCAGTGCCCCACCTGGACCCTGTTCTTGCACGCGAGGGAGAGCTCCACGATGAAGACGGTCTCAGTGGCAATGACGGCGTCGGAGGTGGTGTAATAGGAAGGGGTGATCTGGGGCTCCACGCAGGCCTCTGCTGCAGGGAGGAAGGGTGCTTCGCTGTGCTGCAGCCCAGGCCCAGAGGCAGACTCCCTGCCTCCCACACTTGCCTGGCCTGCCTCTACAGGCTGCTTCTCGTGCCACAATGAGCTTGGAAGTGTGTGTGTGTGTGTGTGTGTGTGTGTGTGGAAGGGTATGGGAGTCCTCATCTCAGGCCTGCACCTGCAACAGGCGGGCCATTCAACAGCCCCTGCCGAGGCCACCTGGGGACTCAGGAGACGAAGGTGCACCCAAGTAGGGCACAGGGGACAGGCCGGCCAGTACGGGGTGTACGTGCCGCTGGGGAATGTCAGCCCCTGGAGGTGTTTCTGTGCTCGTTGTTGGGCCTCTTCCCATGGAGCCCCCGGCTTCAGGGCAGGAAAATGCTGAGGGCTGCGGACGCAGGAGCTGGTGCGGGCTGCTCCAACAGGGGACTCCAGGATGTCCTCTAGCCTGTCTTGGCGCTAAGTCGGCGAGACCCCGGGTGTGGACACGGCGGGCCTTCTGGAAAGCCCAGGTCTTTTACCGCAGGCTCCTGCTGGCCTGTGGAAGCCTCTTCCCTTCCTCGCCCCCGCACCGCGGCTGTGTGGCCCGCTCCGCAGTGGCCGAGCTCCGTGCAGGTGCAGGGGCCTGTTACCTTGCCTCCTGGAGCTGGGCACGCCGGCTCCCCAGCGGAAGCTTTGAAGCGTTAGGACAAGCAGCCAGGATGCCGGGCACACGTGTGGGCAGCACTTGGGTCACGGTGCCCCGAGGTCGTCGGCCTGTCGGGGCAAGGCCCGCTCCCTGACGGTGGGCCCCGGGAAGGGCCGACCCCTCGCTTCGCCCGCACCCTACCTCCCCCCAGCACCACCAGCGGCGGGTCAGACGTTCACCGGCAATTCGCTCCGGCTAGGCCGCTACCTGAGCAGCAGGACAGGCCGGACAGCAGGAGGAGCGCCAGGGCGCCGAGAGATGCCATCGCCGCCATGGCCTCTTTTCAGTCGACGGGGGTTGGGGAGGAAGAGAACGAGCGTTCCCGAACACGCGGGCCAGACGAGGAAGCGCGACGCGTCAGCGGCCACGGGAGCCAATGGTGCGCGGGTGGGCAGGGCTGGGCTCCGTGACGTCGTCGGCGGTACTGACGTGTCCCCTCCCCAGCCAGCAGCCCAGCGGGGCGCGCCCCCTGCTAAGATGGCGCCGGCGCCGGCGGCAGCCGCTCTGCCACCCGAAAGGGGCTGTGGGAAAGCGGTGCGGCCGCGCGCGTGCGCAGTGCAGACCGGTCGCTAGCTGCCGAAGTCTCGCGATAGCGCCGGCCTAATCGTTGGAACCAGCCGCGGCTCTCACTTTCCATCATGGCGCTCAAGTTGGTGACGGCCGCAGGCGGCGCTGCGAAGGCGGCGTTCAAGCCGATTTCCTTCAGACGGTCTCGGGAGGTGAGGAGCGGGGCGGACGGAGCAGCTCGCGGGACTGCTTCAAAGTCCGCTGCGGGGGCTTCGCATGCCCTTGGGCTCGGGCTGGGGATAGAGGCTCCTAGAGTAGCCTGGTGTTCCATTGGATGCGGGCCCCGCTACGGGGCGGGGAGAGCTCCGTGGGCCGCGGCTGATTGGCCGTCTCTGCTGTCTCCGTGTGTGGGAGTGAGAGGGCGGGAGGTGTTTGGAGTGTAGGTGTAATCGTGCGCCTGGGGATTGGCCCAAGTTGGCTCTGGTCCGTGACCCCACGACTTTGTGTGGTGGGCTGCGGCGCCTCCCTGGGGGCTTTGCGAAGAGTGCTTTCGGGCCTTCTTTTGAGTTGCGGCCCGCCCTGGGGATCCCATGGCGGGACTCAGTTCCTACTCATGCTTTCCCTCCGGTATGCTTTGCCACCTGTGCCGGCGGAGGACAGTCGCACTTTGTCAGTAACCTCTAAGCAGACAGCGCTGGAATGGCACACAGCTAGGGTTTCTGGGGCTGGCGGTGCTGGAGGTGGGCTGGCTCACTTCT